GCCAGCTGCTGGTCCCCAAACCCTAAACCCTAAACCCTAAACCCTAGACCCCAAACCGTAGACCCTGGGCCTTGAGTTGTTGCGGAGCACGCTGCTGGTCCCCAAGCCCCAAACCCTAAACCCTAGACCCTCACTCCCAAACCCCCACCCCCAAACCCCAAACCCCAAACCCTAAACCCCAAACCCCAAACCCTAAACCCTAAACCCTAAACCCTACACGCTGCGTGCGCTGCAGAGCGGGCGGAGGGTTTCGCTGCAGGCGCTGGGTCCCGAGGGTTTGGGAGGGGACTTGTGGTGGGGTTTGTGGGGTTTGAAGAAAAGCATGGAGTGGGAAGAAAGGGTTTTCGAAATGGAATATGATTTGCAAACCCTCGCTGCTGCATGCGTGCAAACCCTCGAAGGCCAAATGGCCAACAAAGGCCTTTTTCTCTTCGACTGCAAAACCCTCCTTGCAAACCCTGCACACAGCACAGGCAAAACTTGTTTTGTTTTGTCTTTCGTTTTGTTTTATTGTTTTTATTTTGTTTTATTTGTTTTATTTGTTTTATTTGTTTTGCTTGTTTTTATCTGTTTTGTTTGTTTGTTTTGGTTGTTTGTTGTGCTTGTTTTGGCTGTTTGTTTGTTTGTTTGTTTGTTTTGGTTGTTTTGTTTTATTTGGTTTGCTTCATTTGTTTGTTTTCTGTGTTTTGCTTTATTTGTTTGTTCTATTTGTTTTGGTTGTTTTATTTGTTTTGTTTATTTGTTTGTTTTATTCGTTTTGGTTGTTTTATTTGTGTGTTTTACTTGTTCTGTTTGGTTTGTTTGTCGTGTTTGTTTTGTTTAGTTTGTTTTATTTGTTTTTGTTTGTTTATTTGTTTGTTTTGTTTGTTTTGGTGTTTGTTTGTTTGTTTGTTTGTTTGTTTGTTTTGGTTGTTTGTTTGTTTGTTTGTTTTGGTTGTTTGTTTGTTTGTTTTGGTTTATCTGTTTTGCTTTATCTGTTTGTTTTATTTGTTTTGCTTTATTTGTCTGTTTTATTTGTTTGGTTTGGTTTGATTGTTTTATCTGTTTTGTTTTCTTTGGTTTGTTTGTTTTATTTGTTTTGCTAATTCTTTTGGGTTGGTTTTTGTTTTCCTTTTACCTTTTTCTGTTTTTTTGGTTTTCTTTTTCCGGCTTTTTGTTTTTTCTTTTTTTATTTTTGTCTTCTTTTTTAGTTTGGGTTTTGTCTTGTTTTAAATCTTTTATCTCTTCTGTTTTCTTTTTTTGTTTTTCCTCCTTTGATTTATTTTCTGATTTTTTGATTTTCTATTTTGTGTTCTTTTATTTTTATTTTTTGGTATTCTGGCTTTCCGTTTTTGGTCGTCTGGGATCTTTTGAAATATCTTTTTTTTATTTTCTTATTTTCTTTTTTATTGTTTTGTTTTTTGTTTATTCTATTTTTCTATTTTTCTTCTTTTTATCTGTTGTTTTCGTTTAAACATTTTTTCTTTTCATTTCTTTTTATTTTTCAAATTTTTTATTTTCCAAATTTTCCCTTTTCGGAGCTTCTTCTCACTTCCCAAACTTCTTGTATTCCCCAAGCCTTTTATTATTTATTTATCTATTTATTTATTTTATTTATTTATTTATTCATTTGTTCATCTATTTATTTATTTATTTATTTATTTATTTATTTATTTATTTATTCTTATTTATTACTATTTTTTATTTATTTAATTTTTAATTTCTTTTTTTAATTTTTTTTTCATTTTTTTGGACCCAAGTGGCTCAGCGTCTGCATCTCCAGCTGTCCGCTTTTGTGTCTTCATCTTTTTATTTTATTTTATTTTATTTTATTTTATTTTATTTTTAATTTAATTACTTTAATTTAATTTAATTTATTTAATTTAATTTAATTTCTGTTTTGAATGCAGATGCTGAACTCCACAGGACCCTTTCGGCCGTAAGCCACGAATACTTCAGAAACTGGACTGGGGCCAGAATTGCTGTCAGGTCTGCTGCTGCTGCTGCTTCTGCTGCTGCTGCTGTTGCTGCTGCTGCTGTTGCTGCTGCTGCTGATGATGATGCTGTCAACATTGCTGCTGCTGGTGATGTTGGCGAGGGTGTTGCTATAAATATCGCTGCTGCTGCAGTCGCCTTTGCTGCTGCTGCTGCTTGCAGCATCGCTGCTTCTGCTGCTGTTGTTGCTGCTGCTGCTGCTGCTTTTGCTGCTGCGGTGCCTATGGCAGAAGCAGCAGTCGTTGTTGCTGCTGGAGGAGCGGCTGCGGCCGTGCTGCTTGCGTCATGCGCGCTGCTGCTGCAGCAGCAGCAGCTGCTGCTGCAGCGACCGCTCCCAGCTGCTGCTGCTGCTGCTGCTGCTGCTGCTGCTGCTGCTGCAGGGATCGCTTTCAGCTGCTGCTGACGGGGGGGCTCACGAAGCTGCGGGAGTCTCTTTTTACTGCGGAGTTGCTGGCAGCAGGAGAGCGGCTGCTGCGGGGTGTGGGGTATCTGCAGCAAAGGGTTTTCCGCGAAGAAGAGCGAAACCCTAAACCCCTTTTTAGGGTTTACTACGACGACGTCTTCGAACTCTACGACCCAGTTCTTCACTGGAAAGCCGCGGAAATCTTCAGAGCGTGAGATGCAATTCTTTTATTTTGTTTTTTATTCTTTTTTCTTTTTCATTTTCTTCTATTTTAATTTTATTTTCTATTTATTTTTGGTTCTTTTTGTCTTTTCTTTTCCTTTTTTGATTTGGTTGTTTGGATTCCTTTTTGTTTTTCCTTTTTATTTCAATTTTTGAGTTCCTTTTTGTTTTTTTATTTCTCCCTATTTTAACCTTTAAAATTCTTTTTTTTCTTTTTCCGTTTTGTTTTAATTGTTTCAATTCCTTTTATTTCCTTTTTCTTCCCTATTTTAATTTTTAAATTCTTTATGTTTTCCTTTTCACTTTCGTTTTTTAAATCTGGTTTTTTCCACTCTTTGATACGTTTTCGTGATTTCCTTTTTTTTCTCTTTTAATTCTTTTTTTCTTTTTATTTCACTTTTTGAAATCTTTCTTTTCTTCTTTTGTCTTTTTTTGTTTTTTATTCTACTTTTTAAAATATTTTTCCTTTTTAAATCTTTTTTCCCTTTTTATTCCTTTTATCCCCTTTGTCTTTTTTTGCTTCCTTTTAAACTTTCTGAAAACACTTTTTTCTTTTTATTCTTTTTTGTCTCTTTGTCGATTTTTTTTTCTCTTTTCTGAATCTTCTGCATTTTATTTTTTCTTTTTTGTCCCTTTCTGCTACTTCTTTACTCCTTATTTCTTTTCTATTTCTTTTTTCGTTTTTCTTTTTTCTTTTTCTTCCTTCTTTTTCCTTTTCTTTTCCTTTTTTCTCCTTTTTGTCTCTCTTTGTTTCTTTTACTCTCTTTTGCCTTTCCTTGCCTTTCTTTTCTTTTTCTTTTTTGTTTCTTTTTGTCCCTCTCTGTTCCTTTTTTGTTGCTTTTTGTCCCCTTTTTTGGAAATATTTTCGGCTTTTTTTGTCTCTTCTTTGTTTCTTTTTCGATTCTTTTTTATGTCTCTCTTTTGTTCTTTTCTTCTTCCTTTTTGTGTCTCTCTTCTCTTCTTTTTTGCCATTCTGTTTTATTTCTTTTTGTCCCTTTTTAACCCTTTTTGGGTCTCCTTTGCCGCTCTTTTGGCTCTCCCTTGTGTCTCTTTTTGTGCCTCTTTTCGCATCTCTCTTTATGTCTCTTTTATCCTTTTCTCTTTCTTTTTGTTTCCTTTTGTGTCTCTCTTTATCTCCTTTTGTGTCTCCTTTTGCGTTTCTCTTTATGCCTCTTTTTGTCCCTTTTTGTCCCCGTTTATGTCTCTTTTTGTGTCCCTTTTTGCTTTTTGTCTCTTTTCGTGTCTGTTTTTCTGTCCCTTTTGTCCCTTTTTATGTCTCTTTTTGTGTCTCCTTTTGTGTCTCTCTTTGCCTTTCTTTTAATTCATTTTGGATCTTCGCCCCTCTTTTGTCGTTCTTCTGGGTCTCTTTTGTGTCTCTTTTTATTCCCTTTTTTGTTTTTTTTGTTTTCTTTTTAATCTCCTTTTTGTCCCTTTTTCGGCTTTCCTTTTTATTTCTTTTGGCCCTTTTTCGCCCCTTTTTGGGTCTCCTTTGGCTTTCCTTTTTGTCTTTTTTTAATTTCTTTTTTCGTTCTTTTTTCTTTCTTTTTCCTTTCTCTTTTCCTTCATTTTTGTCTTTCTTTCTGTCCCTTTTTGTTCTTTTTGTCTCCTTTTTGTCCTTTTTCTAGCTCTCTTCTTTTTCACTTTTGTGTCTCTTCTTATCTTCCTTTTTTCTTTTTTTTATTCTTTTTTTCCCCCTTTTTTGTCCCTTTTTTGTCTCCATTTTGTATCCCCTTTATCTCCTTTTATGTCTTTTTAATCTTTTGTTAAATATGCTTTAAAGTCCCTTTTTTAATCCCTTTTTTAATCCCTTTTTTATAACTCTTTTTAATATATTTTCAATCCTTTTAATATCTTTTTAATATCTTTTTAGTATCTTTTTAGTATCTTTTAAAAATCTTTTTTATATTTTTTTAATATCCTTTTAATCTCTTTTTAATCTCCTTCTAATCTCATTATAATCTCTTTTTAATATCTTTTTAATATCTTTCTAATCTCTTTCTAATCTCTATTTAATCTCTTTTAATCTCTTTCTACTCTTTTTACCTCTTCTTAATCTCTTTTTATTACGTTTTAATCTCTTTTTTATCTATCCTTTTAATCCCTTTTGAATATCTTTTTAATATTTTTTTTGTTTTTTTATTTCTAAATGTTTTCAGTTCTTCCTAAATTTGTCTACACTATTTCCTCCTCCCCCACGCTGTAGCACCTGCCTCCTTCCCGCTGCTGCTGCTGCTGCTGCTACTGCTGCTACTGCTGCTACTGCTGCTGCTACTGCTGCTGCTGCTGCTGCTGCTTCTACTGCTGCTTCTACTGCTGCTGCTACTGCTGCTACCGCTGCTGCTGCTACCGCTGCTGCTGCTGCTGCCACTGCTGCTGCTGCTGCTGCTGCAGCTGCCGCGTGATGCTGGGCGAAGGGCCCTTTCTGGAAGGGCTGAAGCTTTTTTCGAAGAGACACGAAGGAGGTGTAGTGACACTCCAGGACTTCAAACAGGCCCTCGAAGACGCCACGGCCACAGACCTCACCCACTTCGCCCGCTGGTTCACCCAGGCAAGCAGCAGCAGCAGCAGCAGCAGCAGCAGCAGCAGCAGCAGCAGCAGCAGCAGGAGCAGGAGCAGGAGCAGGAGTTGTAGGAGTAGTAGCAGCAGCAGCAATAGTGGTAAAGTAGTGGGAGTAGAGTAGTAGTAGGGGTAGTAGCACTGGTACTAGTAGCAGCAGCAGCAGCAGCAGCAGTGAAGTGGCTGCAGCTGCAGCAGCAGCAGTAGCAGCAGCAGCGGCGGGAACAGTGTGTGTTGGCTTCTCATTCAATGGCGCAACTTCCTATTTGTCTCTTCTTTAGCCACCGAAAAAGGCCCAAAGTCTCATTTTTTCGCTCTTTCCGCCGCCGCTTCTGCTGCTGCTGCTGCTGCTGCTGCTGCTGCTGCTGCTGCAGGGGGGAATCCCGGAAGTGCGCGTGGAGAAGGCGGCCTACGACGCAGCTTCGAAGGTCTTTTCCTTCACTCTGAGCCAAACCCTTCCGCAGCAGCAAACTCCAACTTTGCCTTTTTTGATTCCTCTCCAGATTGGCCTTCTCGGCGAACTCTCCAAAAAGGACATTTTAAACCCCCCCACACAAGTCCGCAGCCGTAGCTAGCTGGCTAGCTAGCTAGCTAGCTAGCTAGCTAGCTAGCTAGCTAGCTAGCTGGCCCCTTCTCTGTCTCGAGCTAGCTGTGGCTGCTAGCTAGCCAGCTAGCCAGCTAGCTAGTCAAATACCCACCTGGCTAGCCAGCTAGCCATGCAGCTAGCCATGCAGCTAACCATCCAGCTAGCCAGCTAGCCAGCCAGTTCACCATCCACCTGACCAGCCATCCACCCATCCCCCCATCTCCCCCACCATCCATCCATCCAGCCAGCTAGCCAGCTAGCCAGCTAGCCATCCAGCTAGCCACCCAGCTAGCCATCCACCCATCCACCCGCCCACCAGTCAATCCACCCATCCACCCAGCCATCCACCCCGCTATGGCCCCAGCTAGCTAGCTAGCTAGCTAGCCAGCTAGCCGGCTAGCTAGCTAGCTAGCTAGCCCCCTAGCTAGCTAGCTACCCCCCCAGCTAGCTAGCCAGCTAGCTAGCTAGCTATCCCCCAGCTAGCTAGCTAGCTAGCCCCCTAGCTAGCGAGCTAGCCAGCTAGCTAGCTAGCTAGCTAGCTGGGCGTGTGCGCGCAGGTGGTGCTGCTGGGCCGGGAGGTGGAGTCCTTCAGCATAGCGGGGGT